GGAGAAACAGCAGGCAGCAAAACCCTGGGAGAAATAGTGTCTGAAAACAGTTGTGAGTATTAAAGACATTTTTTGCCGTTGATGGTATTAGCATGTCAGCAGGTCTATACTAGTACGGCTCCGACAGCCAAATTGCAGCTGTATTTTTACCTTTGCTGCCAGGTTTACATGCAGCTGGGTATCTACCACACCCTATTGTTATCAGTCAACAATACCAGAAGCAGTTCGTTAATCGTATCAATAACAACAATCGTGTTTCATGTGGAAAATAAACAAGTTAAAAAAAGACAAGACTGATTTCTCCTCTGCATGCTAACTTAGCATTCTTTAAGTGTATCTGCCAGTAGTTTAATTTGAACTTCAACTCCCCGAAGGCAGTAAGACAGAATTATTTTAGTTCTTCATAAACTGCCTTCTGTGATTCATTGTTAACTCATAAAACACGCTCATTTTCATGTACTTAAACAGTTAAGCCATTTTTAAAGTTGGTTTGTAATTTTTTTTGGCAACACATTTTAGTTGACATCTGAGAGATAGAAATCTAAAATTAATTTATAGCCCTCAGTTTAGTTTTCCTTTACTATCGGACAAAATATCAGAAATAAATATTTTTTTATCTAACGTAATGTAAAGTATATTGCACAGTGTCTAAAATAAAGTTTAGTTTTGACTGAATACACTCAAAAAGGGACCCATAAATATTAGAGAGCTGTAGTTAAGAACTTACATGACTGTTTTAAATACTATTGATTTAAACCACTGGCTAGATTTTATGAATCAAAGTGTAATTTCCAAGCTTTGGCTATATTTCTCATCGCTAAAGCACTCTCTCTTGTGTGCCTTTAGCAGCTTTCCAGACATTCAACACGGGATTAAATGATAGTAGTTACAATGATCAATAGGTTAAGACCGGTACAATCACTCTTACCGCTAATGACCTCGGTAGTAATGGGTAATAAAGTGTGGGCTATAATAGCCTATTGCTGGTGCTGCATGCCCTTTGATTCCTAGTATTACCAGGGACTAGCTACATGAAAAAGTTGGACGTCGGGAGTTAAGAGAGTGGATATATAGGCCATCACTCTTAACTATTTAAAGCCCTCAAACTGTACGTGTGCCCACGCTTGGCCGGGGCGCCCGCGTTGTTTTTTGACGCGGTAGTTTCTGGTTTATTTGAATTTGTTTCCAAAAGGTTTCCGTAAGTTGCTTTCCTGATAGGCTGAAGCACAAACTTTGGCTAAATGTGGCTGTTTGCCGTGTTTATAAATGGAAGGCAGGACCTTCTTCAGAGGCACAGATGTGGTGTGAAAACGTGGTTTCAGATGGTAAAATGAAGTTGAACAGATCAATGCAAACTCGTACTCCTAGGTGTGCCATATATATATATATATAAAAATATATATATATGGGGGGTTTTTTCCGTGCTAGTTAAGTGCTTCTGTTCTAGCAAAGAGGGTGCAGCTAGGAGATTCTTCACCGGAAGGTACGTGGCCAGTTTTCAAAGGTAGGGCCAAATCCTTAGATTTGTCCCAAGACAAATGTCCAGAAAAGCCATGGAAGTGGATGGGAGTTGTCTCTGCCTAGCTGAGGGCAGAATGTGGCCCTCCGTATTAATCACCGATGTGTAGGGTTTACAGCACCCCACCCTATTCCTGTCTGTATCCCCGCTTGCCGTCATAAATCTGACTGAAGAGTATTTGTGTTGTCTGTCTTCCAAGAAGGGCACAGAAAACACACTTAAACATGCTTCCTCTTCTGTTTGCTCAGTCCAACTTCAATGAAAAGTAGTACAAACCCGAGGGTAAAGTAAACTTCTCTGGAGATGAGAATAACGAAGGTGAGTCACGCTTCGGGGCGAAGATAGTGACGGCAGTATTTAATGAAATAATGTTCTACTCCCAGAAAAGTTTTTAAAAGGCTACAGATTAAGATCTTCCGAATTAATGGGACTACCCATCCTGATGACTCGATGTCCCCAGAGCTGGTCCTGCGTGGCCAGGCGGTGGCACGGCGCGGTGGCCGGCCGGTGGCTTTCCCGGTGACACGGGCAAGCTGCGCCGGCCACGGGAGAACGGCCGCTGGCTTCGGTGGGACTGGCATTTGACCTGTAATTAAATCTTCATTTGCCTGTGTTCACGCCTGCCTGGCCCACATGAGATAGGTGGGACCACGCCGTGCCGCGGGGAGCGCACAGAGGACCCCGCCGTGGTTGCGTTGGTGGGATGTCGGAGGCGTGCGAGCCTTCGCCGGGCTTTGCTCGGGCAAACGTGTGCGAGGCGGTGTCTGGCCCTGGCACGCGCCGTGTACACAACAACGCGGGGAGATGTGCGGTGTACACGCGTCTGACCTTCAGGAACCATTTTTAGTTCATCAAAATTAGTGATGCTGAGAAATCAGGACATCAGTGCATAATGACTGTGAAATTAGGAATGAGAGCTTGCTATGCAAATGACAGGACAAATCATGTGAAAAAGTCAAGATAAACTGCATATTAAGACATTATGTTACATAAAATTAATACTGCATTTCTCTCTTGCTTACTACTACAGTGGGAGATTTTTTTTTTTAAACTCCTTTATCTTCTGATCAGCTATTGTCTGCTGATTTTTTAAAAAGTGGTGCACAGAAAAAGTGCTAAACATATTATTACCTTTTATTGTAATACATGAGATGACAGGAGATCCTTTTTAGCAAAGTATATCCTTTACTGCTTTTAGTTTCGTGCTGTCACGTATTTGATTTGAAACTATAGAAAAGTAAGGTGCTTAAACATTACTGTTAAAACTCATATGGGTTTTGTCTTTTCCTCTATTGTGTTTTTTCCCCTCCTTTTCTTTTCCTTTTTTGGGGTGGAGGGTAGAGGGGTGGGTTTCGAGGGAAATAGTCTTCTTGCATTACTGGGACTGACAAAATGGTTCTCGTGTAGTCTGCAAATTAAACACAAGTGCAGTGATTATTTTGAATAGCTAAATTACATTCTAGAAAGCTTGCAGAATTCATAGCATTGTCATTAGGTATCCGCTTGAATACAATTTGTGTAACCTTGGCCAAGACAGCCTGTCATTTTAATGTCAGTGTTTTATCTGAACAAGACATCATCCTTTCAGATACAGTGTACAGGTTCCTTGCAAAGATGCCCGTGCAGAAACGTGTTAACAGTTGCAAATATGAAATGCTATCAAGTTCATCACTGTAGCTGTTTGTCACTGAAATGTCATGGAAAGCGGCTTTTAATGGTATCTCACATAATATGAAAGAATTGAAGACATCTGTATGCTGGGTGAATATGGAATGGTAAAGACATCGTGGTAGGGCCTTTCTGTTAAAATTGCATAGGAGTCTAGTGCTGTTATTCACATCACTGAGCCTTCCTTCAATTTTCTTCAAAACCTGTCGTAATAGGGTCTAGATCCCATCAGCGTGGGATACTCGGCTGTTGGATTTCTGTGCGGAAGGCAAGGGTTTTCTGCCAGGGAAAGGACCCAGCTGACGGTTCCTTGTAGAAATAAATACACCTTAACAGGGTTTACCATACCGCTTGCTCTAAAGAATTCGCATCGCAATAATGTTTCGCAAAAGGGGAATTTCGTCGCCAGGAAGATGCGGTCGGTACCCCTCGTGCCTGCTGCGGTGGGCCGTAGGGACCCTCTGGCCTTCAGCACCCTCGGTGCCAGGCATGGGGTCCCCTGGTGTGGAGGAGCTGCGGCGGTGTGCTCTGACCTGACCCCCTCTTTGCTCTCCTCTTGCGCTTCAGGTTCCAGTGTCGGTGGCTATGATGACACCTCAAGTGATCACTCCCCAGCAAATGCAGCAGATCCTCCAGCAACAAGTGCTAACTCCCCAGCAACTCCAAGTCCTGCTCCAACAGCAGCAGGCACTCATGCTTCAACAGGTAATTGTTTTCTTAACAGCTGCTCGGGTGGCCCCTGCAGATACCGGAGGGCTTCGCCTCCTGAAACGTTCCTGGGGAAAGGAGCTGCCCACGTCTCGGGTCCGTACCTCGGAGCAGCCGTGCTCTCGAGATGAACTGACTTCTCTTTTGTTTTTAGTTCTAGAAATAGCTACTGGAAACAAATCCAGGGAGCAGTGCTAGGAGTGTTTCCAAGATCAGCTAAATAATACAGATGCATATTTAAGTGTCAGGACTTCGGCAGATGTCCCTGTTGCTTTTGCCTCCATCCCCCAGAAAGCATGGGCTGCCCTGACAAATTGGAATAAACAAGGTAGTAGGGCGATACTTCCCATTTTAGACCTCGTTATGTCCATCTGGCACCGTAAAGGCCTATGGAAAGGGTGGCAATAAAAGTGAAGAGGTTTGCAAGCCTTAATCTGTTTGATTCCAGCCAACGTGCGGTGTGCCGGCGTTTCTCACAGCCCACGGTCCTCTTTCAGCTGAAAGTTGGCCACCGACAAGCCCCGAGGCTCCGTTACCGTAGGGTACGGCACAGCGGGGGCTCACGAATCCCGGGCGGGTGTCCGCGTCCCCCCCCCCCAGCCCGGCCTCGCGTGCTCCTTCCTGGCTGCCACGCTCCCTCCTGCCCGTGCCGGAGCGCTGCCTGCACGGCGCACATCTGGGGAGCGGGGAGGAGGAGAGTGTTTCCCAGGATGTCTATGCATGTATTGAACAACACTTAATACAGTCAAACCCTATCATTTAGAAAGCATGTGTGTTTCACAGCAGAGCTTCGCCAGGCTCTTCTCAGCAAGGGCATTTTGGCTTTGTTGTTACAATCAAAGGTCATTCCTTGCCTTATTTTAATTAGTTTGTGTAGAAAATGGTATGTTTTTCATCAGTTCATTTTGGAGATTACTTTTCAAACGATAATGCCAAGAATAGTCAGTGTGCACTGAATTTATTGTTGAGTTTCAAACTAAAGGTCAGACCATTACAGATAAAAGGATGCTATTTTTCAAATCACAGTTTGTGTGTTACACCAAAAGGGACACTGAATTGGCTCTCCACTTTGTTACTTACCATCTTTCCTTTTCTTTGTAGCAGCAGCTTCAAGAGTTTTATAAGAAACAACAGGAACAGTTGCAGCTTCAACTTTTACAGCAACAACATGCTGGAAAACAGCCTAAAGAGGTACAGACAATACCCATTTTACTTTCAAACCACAGATCCCCGGGGACTGTCTAGTGGCTATTAAACTGTCATTCATCTTATAAATGATTGCACAACTGAACTGACTCTATCGGGTCTCAGCTTTCAGATTTAGAGTTATTGTCCTGTTTTCGCCTGTATTTTCCTGTGCTTTCCATTTGCTTGCTGCCACATATTTTATAGCGGGGAACCATGCCTTGATGTTCGGTATGAGTACTGGAGCAAGCATCTAGACTTGTATCTTGGGAGAGTGCTTTTGGAAGTTAGTTATGTTGTAAAGGGGAGGAGGGGGCAAGGCAGCAGGCACCCAAGACGATGCTGTCCTCTCTAAACGGGGCAGAACGCCAAGAGACGTTGAGTTTGGCCTTGAGGTTGCCAACCGGAGAGGGTCTGGTTGCACGTTCCTCGCAGCACGGGCGTAGCGGGAGGGACCGCGCGGGACAGCCTCGGTGGGGACGCTGAGAAGCGAGGTCCGAGATGCAGAGGTGGTGCGGGAACGCCGCCCCTTTTTTCGTAGCGTGGCATCAGGAGACCTCGCTCTGATGCCACCGCAGTCCATGGCAGGAACGGGACAGGCCAGGTTGGTTTCTGCCCGTCCTTTCAATGCACTTCCCTTTCAAAATACCTCTCACGTCCTAAACTTTGTTTGCTGGTTTTGCTGTGCTTAAATTTAATTTTGCTGTAATTACGTTTATTTTTAAGGTACCGAGTTCGCCCCTCTAGTCGCAAGGAGTTTGAGCCTCTCGTGTTTAATCTGACATCAGTGCTGGCTTAGGTAGCGCCTAGAAAGCTGCCTCTTGGCACGAGACGCCGCGTGGTGTCCTGCGGCAGCGCTTGTGCGTCACTTTGCAAGTGGCGCTGCTCAAAGCACGCACCAACTCCAGCCCCCCGCCCCCCAAATTTTGGCAAATCGTGCCACCTGTGCCAAGTTTCAACCCAGAGTGAATTTTTCCAGCTGAGTTATAAACCCCTGAAAATAGGGGGGTTTATAATGGAAACGCTGACACAACCTTAACCATAGCGCGCTTACGGGCGCCACTATAATAAAAAGGGAACAGATTAAAAAGTGTCTAAAATGTAAATCTAAAGGACTAACAGTAATTAAAATGGAAATGGCACAGGGAGGGAAGGCATGTAATTGTGAGATATCACTGTGCAGAATGCTCTCAGCTTTGTTTTGCTGGCTGTTTTTCTAATTCAGTAGGGCTTACTCATCAGTGGCAGTTCAATGCGCGTTAATGACTCTGGGATGCAGGCATCACTCTGGACAAAGAAATGATTATTGTGCGGTCAAAAGAAGTTCAAAGACAAGAAGGGAATTTCAGTTTTTTCCTTAGAGATCCACATTCAAGAGCATATAAATTAAGCCAAATGTTAAAAACCACAGTCTGAAAGCTGACTTCAAAGTCACAACTCTCTAATTAATGAACTGCGAGCTTCAGTTTGGACAAGTCGTGGTTTGATGCGCCCATAAATCAACATGACAGGTCTGTTTCACAGTCTCAGACAGCGCTTGTCATTGAGTCACATCAGATGTAAACACAGCAGAAAAAAGAGGGAATATGAAGGAGGTGCAATTGATCAACAGAATTGGTAAAAACCCACTTTTGAAACGCATTATGCATGATCACAGGAAATGGCGATAGCCTCAAGAGGCTTTCTCCTTCTGCTGTTGCTTTTTTGAATCAGGTTTCTAACAGCCTTCAAAAGGGAGAATAAGAATTATGGAGCTTCTCCCCTGTGGCTGGCAGGCAATAACCCCCTGTTGTTATTTTGTGCTTCTTTCTTTTCAAAGGCGTCAAAATTTAGTTTTTTAAAGATCTTTAACTCTATATTTGAAGACAAACAATAAAGGGCTGCCACTGTCATTCTTATCAGTTACCAGGGATTGTATTTTTTCTTTCTGTTGCCACTTCTTATTAACCTCTTATTTGGTCTATTAGACATAGTTTTGAATGCAAGCCTGCATGCTGGGAGAACATGAAAGTTCAGATGAGCTCAGAGGGCAGATAAAGAAATTTGAAGGGGAAAGTTACACAGCAGAATGAACGATAAAAGTTAACTCTTCTAAATTGCTGTTGTCAGACAGGAGAGCATCTCAGACACAAAGATGAGGGCTCGGAGCTTAAAGAAAAAATACTTTGTGTTAGAAAAGACGAGAAGGGAAGTTAGACAATGTGATGGCATTTCAATATCTAACACACTGATTTACTGTGGTCACACTTCTGATATTACACTATCGAAGGCAACAATAAGAAAGGGCTCCTTCCTGTTTCAAGAAGAGCATTTTAACACTGGATCTGTTAAGAGAACAAGGGGCCCGAGTCTCTTTGGCTTTTTTCTGGGGTTTTGTGGGGCTGGTTTTGCTGATGGTTTCAGTGAAGGCCCGTTTCAACGATGTGTTTCACCCCGCGGGTTTGTTCAGCCCCGTTTTTCCTGCCTTACGGAGGTTATTCTTGCTAAATTAGCATGCAAGCGCTGGCCTTTTATTTTATCTTCCCCCCCGCTCCCCACGTTAAAAACTGGCGGTCGGGGCACATGGCGAGCAGTGCCGTGGTGGGGACCGGCGGCTGCCGCGCTAACGAGGGCTGAGTTGGTACCTTGACAGATGGAACAAGTGTATTCATGTCCTGCATCCCCCAAGTCATTTTGTGACTGCCTTGTCCTATTGTACCCCTCGTGAAAGAAGAAAAACACAACAAAACTCCCAAGCCCGGCTGGTAAAAGGGATCCGGCCCCCGAGCAGGATAACAGGCGGACCCCAGTCGGGTTTTTTTCTGGTGGGTTTTACTGGAGGTGTAGCAGAGGGTGAGCATCGCACGGTGCCCGTTACCACGAGCAAGAGGCGCCGGGGCGAGACCTCAGCCCTGCGGGGCTGCCTCTCCCCGGGGCAGGGGGGGCTTTACAGAAGGATCCCGCTCCATGCCCTGGCGCTGGACGGGGCGGGTTGTTTTCCAAAAAGGGCCGTTTGTCCTCCGGCAGTTGTGACAGTTTATGTTAGGCAGTAGGGAGTAACCTAAGAAAGGAAAACAGACCTTTGACAGCAGCTTTAGGGAGGGGATCAAAAATGCAAGTTTTATCAGGATATTTCAGCATTTTAACACTGACTACTGACCTGACAACAGGACTGCACTGAGACCTTTTTTGTATGCATTCAATTGTGAGAAGTAAACAAACTGCCTTGTATCCTGTGTTTGGTAACTGGGTGGGGAGCGCAGTTTGGCAACGTGTCTTGCTTTTAAATTCTTTCTTGGACAATGGGCCTTGTATACTTTTATATCCTGGCTTTTCAAAGTCGAGAGCGTTCAAGAGCTTTTCTTAGGATAGCTGAGAAGACAACCAAACGGGCATCAGTCAATTTATAGAAAGGAGTTTTTTTTTTTTTATTAAAAAAAAAAAACCACGCTAACTTTACACTCAGATGGCAAATAGGTACCAATTTATAGAAAGGAGGTTTTTTTTTTAATTAAAAAAAAAAAAAAACACGCTAACTTTACACTCAGATGGCAAATAGGTAAAATACAGCTTACCGTAACTAGATTTTTATGTACTACCATTTTATATATATATCTGAAAATATATATTAAGTGTATATGTATATTTAGAAAATGAATATTTATGGAGGCAAACATTACTTTAACTCTTAATATAACTGTTGCTGGGGCTTGAATTCATCTGGTGCTGTTGGAAATAGTTGAGCAAGTGGATCCGTCTGAGCAAGCTGTTGCAAAGAAATGAGAACTTGCCGAGTTTCAGAATATCTAAGCACCTATTTGTTTAACTCTGTTCTCCAGAGTCCTAGTTTTTCTTTGGAAAGAAGGCAAACCAACTTTCCTGTCGGCACAGCCGTGGGTATAGAGTTGGTTGCAGTATTAAAGTTGGTGGGGCACGGCGGTACAGGGCGGCGGGGGCCAGCCCCCTGGCTGGTGTCCCTCAGCCCCACTCCTGCAGCTCTGGTGGGTTTTTTTGGGGTTTTGGTTTTGTTTTTTTTTTTTTTTCCTTGCTCGACACCAGCAGGGAACGGGGCCAGTGATCCTCTGGCTCGGTGTCAAGGAAGGGCGACAAAAAGCTTGGGATCTGGCTGGGGTTGGTTTGTGAAAGTATGCAGTTTCGTAAGAGTTAATTTTCTTTCCGTAATTGTTAGCCATAATGTGTATAAGACCTCCACCTTGATATGATTCCTAGCAGATTAGGGATATTAGATAATTTCCTTCTATTTATTGTACTACTGCACTGTATTATCTTTCTATCACTCAGATAATTACTAAGGAAATCTACATTAATTTTTTTTGGCTAGCACAAGGAACTGCTAAACACTGGCATGATGTATTGATGTTTTACACAACAAAAGTTTTCCTCCTGTCATTGTACAATAAATAAAAAGATATTTATCAAGATGCAAAGCCTTTCATGGGTTTTAAAGAACAAAGCAAATAAAATACAAGATGAGCATGGAAGCAAAACCTAGAGGCTTCCTTAACTGAACAAAATTAAGGACTCTGAAGCCTGGAGTACTGTACATATTAAACACTCACATTCAAGTAAGATGTTGTTTGCTAAATTATGAATGTGTGTAATTAAAATCTAGTGGCTGTTTCTATGAAAGATTTACAATGTTATTTCATCGTTTGTCATGGCTAATTAACAATATTAGATGAAGTTTTTCTTCTTCAAAGGTCTGATTTTTTCTCATTTATTTATGTCAGAAGTGATAAACAGAGTAGTTAAAAGCTTCTCCGGGTACAGTAGTGAGAAAAGCAACATGTTCTTTTACACCTCGAAGGTTCAAGGTTCACATCCCTGTGGAGTAAAGCAACTCCATCTTCTTTCTAGTGAGAATAATTAAAATTTTCAAAGTGCAGAAGTAGCAGCCTTAAATACAGCACAGAGTAATTCCGAACACAACAGAAAGTGTTGTGGGGCTTGATGGATGAATAAGAGAGAGTAAGTATAAAATACCATAAATTAAGCCAGTCGTATTGCCTTAATAGTTGAGACAACCCTTGCATGAGCAAACAGGGCACGGTGCCGGGGTTGTTTTTCATTCCGTCTTAATTGTGATCGTGTGGTGCAGTTCTCACGTTGTGCACGTTCTTTGCCTCCAAGAATTGCCCAGGACTTTTGGCAGCTGCCGGCAGCGTTTGCTTTACCCACCGCTGAAATGCAGCCACTGCTGGGGTACAGCACGGCCACGTGGACCAGGGCGACGCGGTAGCGTGGACCAAGAAACGCTGCAGACATTTTTAATGGGGATGGCAGGAGGGGTTTAGGGAGGATGAAAACAACCACTGGAGGTGGGAATCGACTGCAGCCCTGTGGTTAACTCCAGCACCTAAGCGTGCCTTGGGGTCTTTGATACGGGGTGGTGGGCTCGCTAGCTTGCCTTGATACCGGGTGACTGCGATCAGAAGTTGAAGTGTGTTGAGACAAGGAGCCCTGTAAATCCTCTGTTAATGCTTTGCTCTGTATTGACAAATGTGCCTTCTTTATTTTTTATTTTTTTTTCCAGCCCCAGCAACAGCAGGTGGCTACGCAGCAGTTGGCCTTTCAGCAGCAACTCCTACAGATGCAGCAGTTGCAACAGCAGCACCTCCTGTCTTTGCAGCGTCAGGGGCTGCTAACGATCCAGCCTGGCCAGCCTACTCTGCCTTTGCAACCCCTTGCACAAGGTAGGTGAGGGGTTTGGGAGCTGCCGGCCGTCTGGCAAAGCGATAGCATGCACGCACATGAAATTGTCACTCAGTCAGAGACGGAGAGAGATCTATTAGGCTCATAAAATAATAAGCACAGAAAAATCCTGACAGGCAGGGTGGGCATTATAAAGATATTTTTTGAGAAGGGCAACGCTGAAATCGTGGACCGCTCTGGCTAGCGGGAGGCAGGCGGTTTGGAGTTCGGATTCAATTTGCACAGCTATCGCCGGTCTGGTGGACTCGAAGCTGCTGGTTGTGCTAATCTGAGCCTGAAATCCTTCACAGGAGGCGTCTTAATCGATTCTTGGTGCTGGGTTCATGGGTAAGGGATAGTGTGAGAGCAGCTTTTCCTTTTTTAATGTGTTACTTGGGCCCTTTCTGATTCCAGCCTGGCGAGGAGCCGGGCGCAGAGCAGCTCTTGATCCGCAGGCTGCCCAACTGTAGAAATTTGATTGCCCTTTGCTGCGGCCGAGAGGGAGAGGTGGCGGTGCCTCCTCTCCACGCCTGTTTGCACGGCCTTCGTTTCACTGCCTCTGTGCATCGTGGCTTCATTCCTCCCTCCACGCGGAGGCAAATTGGGATTAACTCTGTTTAATTTTAATGCTGTTATTGACAATTAGATCCTCCTACATCTTTGTTCAGTCCTGCGCTCTGCAAGAAGTTACTGCTTTGCTCAAATCCTTATTTGTATTTTTTTTTTAAGATACTGATACGTTGAAAGCAGTAACTACTTAAATTGCAATACTTTTGACAATGATTATAACCTGGGGTTTTTATATTAGTCTCTCTTTTCCTCTTTGGCTTGAATTTGGTTTTTTTCTTGGGTTTTTTGTTGGTTTTTTTTTAAGCTGGTTTTGTCTGCAAGCCTTGGGACTTTTTAACAGACTTGCCTGAGCTCTGGCTGCTGTGATTAAGGCAGACTGTTTGAAGTTGGCATGGCTCAGGGAAGACCAGGTCTGTCAACCATGATGCTGGTATCGCTGAGTGATCATGCCTTTTCCTTCCCTTTCCCCATAATACATTTAATCATCCACCTCAACTACTTGAGTCATCTCACGTTGAATGATTTGGGCTTTTCAAAGCAGCCTTAGGGCTGCTACAAGTTGCTAAACCATATAATGAATTTACATTCAGCTCTATTTGGTTAAATGGGGGAGATGGGACAAAACTGCTTCTGTTCTTCACCCTCCTTTTTTGTGTGTACATAGCTACAAAAAGCAGAGCGAGGTGGCTGGTGAATATTAACTTACATGGATAAACAGGGACAAAGCTGGGGAGTGGACTCTGCTTTGCTGTGTGGCTGGCGTGGTTTATTTAGGCTTGGTTTTGTGAGGCTTACAAAGGTATTTGAGCTCCTAACCCCTGTCATGAGAGACTAAGCTTCTGGGGACCTGACACCTCCCTCTGCAAGACTAGTTTAGCTTTCCAGCATCCCAAAGCTGGACACCAGGTCTAGACTAGTCCTGTGCATGAGTGGGAGGCTGCTGAGCAGCGAGGCGGTGCCTGGCTGGGAGCTGCAGGATCAGGTCCGGGGTGGTCGTTGGTCAGGGAGCGTCCATGCACTGCATGATGGGGAGAAGGCGTGAAACGAGTCCAGGAAAAAGGGCATGTAGACGAAATGCCATTTACACTTGCAAAACGTTGTAGCGTGCGCTAATTACGCTTCAGATTTATTGTTGGAAGCATCCCAGGCTGTTCCCACACACCCACCGGCCTCAAGCTTCAACCTTTCTAATTTTTCCCACAGCTCCTATACTATTAAGTTTGCTCGGTAAGGTTCATTGTATAGTACATCAGTTAAGCTGTCCAAAGGAGGGCAATTGGGCAGTGACAAGACACGCTCATGTGTAATGTGAAAGAAATGAATGTGGTGATGCATGAAGTGTAATCTGTGCGGTAACACGTCGGAGACACCAGTAGGTAATTCAGCAGTCGTGGCATTGATTGATATGGTTAGCAGGGTAGTGTAACTATTAGTCCTGGCGGAGCAGCGTATTTAAAACCTAAGGGGTGCCGACTTGCACGCTGGAGACGACATAAACATAAGCAGAAAGGGCTGGTTCTTGCAGGGAAATGAGCTGGGGGTGGCTGGAGCCGGGGCTCGGTGGCGGGAGGAAGGAGTAACTTGAGAATTCAGGCAGGTTGCAATACAGCACGATATTTTATTTTATTTTTTTTTTTTTTATCAGAGAGACGATGTCTTAAAACTGATGTCATTATGAGGTTTAAATCAACTTTCTGCTTGCTTGAACATGGTCACCTGGGTATGGAGGTACAAGGACACAAAGAGGTTGAGCAACTCTGTTTGTCTTTGAGCCGGTGATACCTGGGGTTGGGAAATTGAGTTCCGTGAGCAGTAATCTGTCAACTGTCCCCACAACATACATTTTTTAAACCTGTGCCTACATTTTCTTTCATAATGAAGGGGACTAGTTGTCCTGAAAAATGCAATGAAGAGCCAGGGCCATAGTTTAAAATAATTGGTAATGTACACTTCTTATTTAAAAAAAAAATCACATGTATCGTGCCCTTTTGTTTTCAGAACAGTTTGCAAGACTGAGACAAATACTGGAAATGTGCGTATTAAAGAAAAAAAAAATAAAAGAATCATCCCTCTAGTGAATGTAGCTATGAATTCAGTTAAAAGCATTTTGCTTTTATTCTTAAGTATCTGTAATAGTAATAAATGTTCCTAAGGAGAGAATGCTACTTCATAAGTGATTTTTTTTGTTATGTTTTTAGAACTAATACATTGTTTAAAGCTATATTTTAGTTTCATTTTAGTTTTTAGTGCTTGCCTATTGTCTTACACAAAATAGCACATCCTTTAATGTTATATTTGTGTAATCTTTTCTGCTTTGTATTTAGACACATCTATAATCTAGATTTTGCATCTGTACATAGTAGCAATTTAAAAATAAACCACATTTCAGCAGTGTTCTGAGCCGCGAGAGCTAGATCTTTAGTATCTGCAAAATGAAACTGCAAATCACACTTCAGATCACCAGCGAGTGAAAATAATAGGACTGAGACATCTGGGTGCCTGATTGCTGCCATAGATTTGGCAGTTTCAGGTCTAAATCCCGTTACTGGTACGTACGAAGTTGCAGCACCAGCAGTAGCGATCTCGAGTAATTGCAGCGCAGTTCTGGGAATCTGACTTAAAATTTAGCTCTCGCTGTTAAAATGAAACTGTTAAATGGTAAATTACATAATTTATTGCAAGTGTTCATGGATATATTTGACTTGCTTTTACCATTTGTTCTATTATTTTATTTAACCATTTTGCCGGGTGAGTAATGAGCATACCTTTCAGCTGCCCAGGTTGATAGGCTAGTTAGGAATTCTCTCCAGAATTACTCTTAAAAGAACTAAATTTGGGGAAGGAAGAGGAAGGGGCTTTTTTAAAATTTTATTGTATTAATCCAGTGATGTCAGTTGTTAAGGGGTTGTGTGCAGACGTGTATGACATCACGATTAACTCTTTAATTTCATGTCACCCAGCCTGAAATCCCCCTTATTATCTCCAGCATTCCCCCCCCCCCCCCAACTGGGTGTTTTTTATTTTTCTTTCAACGTGCGGTATAGCTGTCGGTAGTGCTAAGAGGAGTTACTCCTGTAGAGGAAGTTAGACCAAACCCTTTGACTTCTAGAGGATCTGCAGCGAGGAATAACTATTATGCATATGTCTATTTTAACGGCTGTAACGCTTGCAAGCTTTTCCTTGGCATAAAGCATTGGTAGATCCAGAAGTGACCAAGGGGAGAGGAGAAAGGAGGAGAAGAGAGTGGGTGCCAGCCCATCTCTAATTAAAAACCTGCAGAAATCCAGATATGGATATGGGGGGGGGGGGAAGCCAGGGTTTTTTTTTTCCCTTTTTGCTTATTCTGGAAAATAAAAATAGGTGCCGACTCATATGGTCTCATATCAATATGTTATCATCAACAGACAAGTCTATTCACTATTGTTTCAACTGAGTAAACAGTGGTGTAAGGGTCAGCCCTGCTCCCAGGTAATTGTTAGTGCGCAGACAGTCCTGTCAGGCGTGTTAGATAAAAATACATCCCACACTGTCACTTCGCAAGGTGTTTGAAAATAATAGCCCCGATACAGCAAAACAGGACGTCGGCTTGTGTACTGACCTTTTTCTTTGTTTAATTTGCTCAGAGGTTTAATTTCAGGGGACAAGTAATAATTGAATATGTCTAATAACTAAATGCTCATTTGGGACAAAATCCATCAAAATATAATTGGCATTTGGGTCTGATGAAAGGAAAACGACGTGGCTTTAGAGAAACGGATGTGTCTTAAGAATATCTGATCACTTAATGTATAAATTGAAGCCTCTTTCATAATATATATTAATTGCAGATACTTAAGGATTTTAGCATTTTTTTTGTAGTGAACCGTTACCGGAGACCAACTGTTTTTGTTAATGCTACTCTCGGAAAGGCGGGGAAGGTTATTGGTCTGTCGTGCAATAATTTACTCCTCTTTGATATGCAAACGATCCACGGTGAATATAAAAAAATCCTATCAGACTCATTTCACAGTTCTTAACCACTTAGATTCTCTGGAGTCTATCGCCTCATTAGACCAGTGCTCTCCAAAGCTAGCATAATTAAAATCTTTAACAGTTTAGCAAAGTAAAGATGTTTGGCTGATCACGTTGAGATGATTATCTATCCATTGTATTCTAAATGACAAAAATAAATTAAATTTAGACCTTGGCATTTTTTATTATGTGTTTCAAATGAATATAATGCATACTGCCTTTTTTTTTTTTATTTTTTTCTATTTCGATACCTTAGGTTTGGTGAGATCCATGCCTGTGTGAGCTGCTGCTATACACTCAGAAAATGGCAGGTTTCCTTAGGATAGCTCCAGTGCCACAACACGCTGACACAATGAACAGTCATCCAAATGATGATCTGGTAGCACAGGGACGAGAAACCTTCTTTAAAAACACACAGACACTGGCTTTTATTTTATTTTATTTTTTTTTTTCTCTCCCCTGAATATTTAAGCGATGCGTCGCTACTGCTAATTTTTTTCCCACGGCCTTCTCTGAAAGAGCACTGAGACAGTCTTCAGTGAGAGAAACTTGACTTGTTTGATCATGTCACAAACATCAGCTTTATCCAAAAGCATGATCTCAGCGCGAGGCCGTGTCACGCTGACGCGCGCGGCTCCCCTTCCAGCCTTCGGCTTGGCCCACTGGAGTTGGCAAAGTTTTCGCTTGCCTTATTTATCGAACGCAATGTCCTGAGCCCGGTTGTCCGTTTTGGCGCAATTAAGAAAATATTTTAATTTTTTTATTATTATTATTTCTTGAAGCTTATTTTATGTTTTCATTTTACTTTTGAATGGCTCATTAGCATTGATCTAAGAAATGACAGTAATAATAGTGTTACTTGTATAGAAAGTTATACAGTTTTTCAGTAGACACATCCATCAATTAAGTGAGCAGTTCGAGAAACCAAAATTAATGAGAAAGATAGGTGTGTTAATGAAATAATCATAGTATAATCAATTTGACTGTTAAAATTTGAAAAGCATTTCAGGAAGACAATATGAATTCATAATTTATGTCTAAAAGTGATTAATAAAAACTGTATTTAATAACAAAGCTATTTGTCATCATTTAAAACTTAGTCATATTGTGGTTCGTGTTGTCATAATAATAAAGCTGAGAAATTTTTTTTTTTTTCCTAAGACCTTCCTTTCTTTCTAAAACAGGTTAGGAAGTATTCACTTTCTTTAAAAAAAATAAAAATAAATAGTATCTTTAAAAAAAAAAATTTTTTTCCAGCTGACTGCAGAGTAGCCCTTGGCCACCTTTGCTGTGAGCCTTGCTGTGAGCTCGGGGCAGTTTCTGCCTGGGGGGGGGCTCTGGAAATGGGCCTGCTGTAATTTTAATTACAAAAAATAATAATAATTAACATGGAGTTTGGCGTGGGTGTCCTGTCGTGTGGACCCCACACCCGGATTTTGCCTTACGTAGGCATTGCAGGTGTCACCCCAGAAAACGTAGCGGAGAGGTGCGGTGTTCAGTATTAGCCTTTAGGTATTAAAAAAAAAAAATAATAACATGCGCAAAAACACACATACAGACACACACAACTAACACTAGGCTTTGTTTACTGACTCTTTGATTTAATTACTGTTTGAAGACGGCCGAATTAGCTGTTAATTGATTTAATTATCCAATTTGTTTGTTTCAGGCATGATTCCAACAGAACTGCAGCAGCTCTGGAAGGAAGTGACAAGCTCGCACACAGCGGAGGAGGCAGCCAGCAACAACCACAGCAGCCTGGACCTGTCCACCACCTGCGTCTCCTCCTCCGCGCCATCTAAGACCTCCTTAATCATCAACCCACACGCCTCAACTAATGGACAGCTCTCGGTCCACACTCCCAAACGGGAGAGGTAGGTGCCGGTGGGCTTTCCCACCCGTGAGCATCTCGGAACAGCGTGCCCAAGCGATGGCGAAATCGTTGGGAGCGGTGGCCAACCGCCTTGGCCTCGGTTTTTGTCCTCCACGTCTTGCTCTGTCTGATTTTGGCGTGGTTGAATGGAGTCTCCACTGGGCAGAATCCGCTCCTTTTGTTCAGATCTTTATGGCTTGTTAATTGGATCAATGTGGGCACAATTAGCTAATTAGAAGTGCATTGGATAAGCGTATTGGGGGAAGTGTGAAGAGCGTATGCTGGGGATTTTTTGAGTTTTGCATCCCGGGTGGTGTTACTCTTGATGTGCTTTGCGTTTGCAGGCTGGAGGCGAGGGGGAAAAAAAAAAAAAAAAAATCTGTTGGTCAGTACAGGCTGCTCTACCACCCGTTCCTCTGCCAAATTTCAGTGCCCCATCTCATCTAACGCGTTTGCCTTTTTTCACTCTGTATTTACCTGCTTTCACAAGGCAGGATAGGCTTGAGTTCACCAGGTTTCTCTAAAACAAAGTGGGTTTTTTTTTAAGTGCTGATAAAATTAGCTAACTGGTGGTGTTTGGCTTTTAAAAGTGTGAGTTAATTTATAGTTGCTAGGCTTGCATTGTTAAAAGAAATGGCTTAAATCAGGGGTTGTCTGTTGACGTGCTTCTCGGCGCGGGCTCTGCTTTATCCCAAAGCATGCTTTATTGCAGGTTTGTTTCTTTACACCCCCGGATTTCACTGAGGCGTGCCTAACAACAGAACTTTTGCTTACGGAGAGATAGACGGTCCCAGGAGCTGGGGCCGTGGGTGCCAGTGCCTGCTGCAGCCTCGCCGTCGCTGCCGGCTGTAGAGGAGGAGGAGGAGGAGGAGGAGGAGGAGGAGAAGGGTCTCCAGAGCACACGAGCAGCGTGGGCGTACCGGGGAGGGCAGTGCTTCTTTGCATGCAGGAGAGTCCCTTTGCCCATCTAGAAACGTTACAGCAGCCACTAGCGAAAGCTGGATTTTTATGGAAACTGATGGCTTTGTCTTTCCTTCCTCCTTTCATTCATTAGAAAGAGGATAATGGAATTTTTAAGCCATAGAGTTTATATTTCTGGTGGTCTGAAAGTAGATTGATAGGGAAGCTATATAAATACCTCTTATATCTTCCTAATATTAAGAAAATAGCGCTGTTGGGAATAGATTTTTAAAAGGAGAGCACACCCACTGTTGAAAGAACTGCTGCGTGTGTGAAGCATCATTTTATATCCATTGCAAGGACATGGGGGGGAACATCAGCGTATACATTTATAATGCATGTAAGTGTCAAGGACATGGTTTTCATGAAGACTTACGTGGGATACTAAAAACAATTTGATGTTTATTAAACAATTAAATTCCCTTTTTGCTGCATATAGAGTTGAACAAGATGGGTTTATGACTTTTCCATACATTTTTTAGCTATGTTTTTCTTACCGAGTATATAAAACAAAAACCCGTGCGGTGAAATGGATCTTCTTGCACTGAGCAGGGGCATGTGCTGTCTGCTAATGGCAGTCTGACCGAGGAAACAGTGTGCCATTGCTGTTAAGTTTGAAATGCAGTGGAAATACAGGATTCTGTTCTGAAGTGAGAGTTTTCTCTGTGTATACTGTCAGGCAGAACTGGAAATCCCTGTGTCTTGAGTCCTGTAATTCTGACCTGGAGGCAACTGGGGTCTACAAACAAGGCGATACATACGGTTTTATTAGTAAAGCTCCAAATAAATTAATTAGGAAGGCATAAACGTGCCACAGTGTTGTTTGAGACTGTATAGGTTAGAAAACTTAAAATCCTTAGTGGTTGAATTGATAGCTGCGTTGTTAAAGCTTGCCATAAAGCTTTCCTTCCATAACTATTGAGTTCTCTACAATATCAAAATACAAAAATAGGTATATTTAGGAATACAAATAAGAGAGCTACAGACTTTGCTTTATCTTGCCTCTGTTTGGTACATGGAAGGTTTATGCCATCCATTTGCTGCAGTGATTGAATTACATCTTTATCCATAAGTAGAGCAGGAGACTACACGCAGAAGAATGCCTACTGATGCACTTAAGGGTTTTGTTGCAGTCTCATCAGGCACCGTGGTGCCTGCCTGGATTTCGTATGACACAGAAACTGCTCTTGTTGAGATGTGTTGCACTGGCTCCCTTTCTGAAAGGGTATTTATCCACAGGCGGGGAGTTCGGGGTGGCGCGTGAGCAGTGAGAAAAGAGGAGCTGTGCTCTGCCATCAGATGTGTGCTTGAAAGCCCACAGAAGGTGAAATTTTAGCATGCTTCGAAAAGAGAGAGCACAGGCGTGAGAAGGGTTTGGGTCATTTTTTGATTCCAAAGGTTGAGACCAGAAATAATCGTGGGTCTGCTGGGAGCATGGCTTGGCTAGACGTGGAGACAAATCTAGGCATGTTCCTGTGCCCAGCTGGTTCAGCACAAAAGCTGAGCTTGTGAGCACAACCAGACTTGTGGCGGTGGTCCCGAGCCCAAGCTTGGGTCAGATGGGGCTGTTGGAGGGGCTCTCAGCCCTCTGCCTCCCATCGCACAAGTCTGCGGTTTGGGCTGGCCAGGGCAGGTTTTTGGGTTGTGGCTTCCCCCCTCTTGTTCCTGCACCTTCTGTGCAACTGGCTGTTAGCTTTGGGCCGATGCAACAAAAAGCTATTTATTTAGATTCAAACAACAGTATAAAGCACATAGTAAAAACTCTAAGTGTCCTAGCAGTTAACCACAGCCACAACATAACGACTGCCCAGCAGCAATAAATAATCATATACAGGTAACATTAACTTTTAGCGTGTGCTGTAAAGCTGTTCCCCCCCATCCTCCCGCCCCTTCCTCTTGGGTTTTTGAGAAGGAGTGGGCTGCAGGAGGCAAGTTGGTTATGTGGGAGTTGTAATCATCGCTGTCATCTCTGGCATGTGTCACTGGGACAGTTCAGGCTGCGTTTTACGGGGTTCCTGATCCCACAAGTCAGGCTGGGAGGCTACCCGGGCCCCGGGGGGCAGGGGGTGCTCGGCTGACCCCAGCAGCAGCAGAGGCACCTGCCTAAAAGTCACTGGGCGAGCAGCAGCTCTGCTATACATCTTGGGTAAAAACACATTTTGGTTATAAACAAAGGGTTTAAAATAGCAGGGAAAAGAGTCACTGGCTGCTTGGCGTGGCCGTGCGTCGCCGTGCCACCCGCCCAGCCTCACGGTTGTGTGCAGCAAAGCTTTAGTCCTGCGCAGCTCCGGTGGCACCGGTGGCACTGGCCACTGTGGGGCTGCCGTGCTCAGAGCCGGGTGACAAAAGAAGTTCTACTTCATGGTGAAAAAAGCAAATGGCAGGCGAGCGGCCAGACTCACCCCAGGACGTTCAAAAAGCAAAAATACATGTGAAAGTAGGAAGCATCCTCCGCTCCCGGGCCAGGGAGCATCGCGGGGCTGCTCTCGGTTTCTGTGTGCTCTGGTGTGTATGGCTTTTGCAGGAATGAAACAATTCCAGCTGTAAATAACGGGTTAATGCTTTCATTCATTTGGGCTTTAAATATATATTACATCTATGCTTTTGTCCCACATTTTGCCCAGTTTCTGTAAGTAGCAGCAGCAGCAGCTCTGGGGTTTGGTGCACAGCAATCTGTTAAGGAGATAAATAATCTGCTTTGGCATGACACTCCTACTCTCCTCTTTAATTTGTCTTACACAAGGAAAATTATAATTAAATCATTCAGGGTAAACCCTTGAGTGTAGAGAAGGAAAAAACACACTTTGGTAAAGATTGCCAATAGAGACCAACTTCCCTGTTGTGCCGTGCAGAGACATTTATCAATATTCAGCACTATTAAAGAGAGACCATTTCGTGTGATTTGTGAGGCGGATGCCAAAGCTCAAATCAAGGCTTGTTAAGATCCTTTCCCCATGCAATCATGGGCATTCAGCATCATTAGAATTCAGCACTGACTGTGTGTTTCATGCTTTGATTTTACTCAGACAATTTAATAATGTTTATTGTGCTGATTATATATATAAATTCACTCAATGCAATAAACATACCTCAGTCATCAGTACCCTAAGGGAAATATTTAGTTATAGATACTTGTATTCACTCAGGATAAGCGAAAGTGAGACCATCAACCAGCATGCAAACCTCTCATCATCTTATCAGCATTTGGGCTTCTTCAGTAACAAGCGTTTTCTCTGCACAAGTAAATAAATAAATAACGGGAGGCAGTTAAGTACATCTGCTGTGCTCAGAAATGTCAAGGACGGTACCCGCTTTCCATCTCGTTCCGCTGCATCTTATTTGGGGGAAGCTTGATTATTTTCTTAAGAAAACCAGCAAAACAAAGCGGGTGGATGCCCGGTCGCTTTAGGTGACTACAAACTTTATAGCCTGATGAGCAGTGGGCATCCCGAAACCTGTGTGCTTGGGAATAGTTGCCGATGTGGGTAGGTTTGGAGGGGCAGAACGCTGCGGAGTTGACCGGCCACTCTGCGGTGAGCGGAGGTTGCTCCGGCTGGGGCTCGGACCGGGCGGTCTGGGGGTGCTGTCGAGCGGTGGCGGGCGCCTGCTGGTCCCGTCCGCTGTCACCGTGCTGTATGGACTGCAGCGGCGACAGGGTGATGGAGGCTGTACGTAAACAAGTGAGTTAATAAAGGTCCAGACCTGTTCATGTAGGAAATGCAGCTGTTTGCAAGAGGCGAGGTGAAGAGTTGGAGGTAAAGGCTGCGTGTCCGAGAGACCTTTCTCCATCTGCCAGCAACCCCACATTTGTCCCATGATGTCTTTATACCCTTTCCAACCGTGCGTGAGTCCTTCCACATAAGTAGCCATCTGATAGGAAAAATAGATGGGATAAACAAGGAGATTTTTTAAATTACTACTTCTTGCCAGCGCCGTGGGAGGATGGAGTCTGGAGAAGGCTGTGAAGGGAAGGGAGAGGAACGGCGTGGCAGACCATGGATCTGGTTAGGCGTTCTGTGTTGTGTTTTACTGTGGTTACCT